AAAGAAAAAGAAAAAAGAAAAGCACTTTTTCTTCATTTACTCTCATGCCTTCTATAGGATTCTATGGAAAAGAATAAATTAAAAGGACTATGCTGAATTTTGATCTTTAACTGTTCTCATTTTATTGTTTCTCACATGTGAGAATGTATAAGTCCCTGGAAGTCACCTGGAAAGTGACTCTAAATAATATAAGCAAGCAATTTTTATAATTTCTTGTTTACTAATATCCCCTTCCTCAGTCTATATTTAGTCACTAATGTATATAATATCTAAAAATGAATGCGTAATGAAAAAGCAGCAAGACATTTGTCTAATGCCATTCTCAGCACACACATGTACCCACTTTATGTATTCATTTTATTGTGTCTTTCTCAGTACACATCTAGCTGAGCTTTAAAGCAAATCAAGAATCAAGCACCTTCGCATGTCCTCAGATTGATGCAATTTATTCCCAAGAAAGGAATTAAACACTATTAAATAAAAACAATGGCAATAGAATCTTGCCTATCATCCATATAATGTTATCCTATATAAGCACTGCCATTTGTCCAAAATATTCAACTATATTCTCCACATAGTTCTAATGCACTCTGATGAAATACTTATGACTATATGTCACGGTTGTTTCTGTATGCAAAAGGAATCAGAACACAAAGCACCCTTCATGGTTTCTTTAAACCATTTAAATACAAGTGATTTGTACAGGAAAGGAAGAAGTCAAACTGTCCCTATTAACAGATGATATGATCCTTTACATTAAAAAAAAAAATTTTACTGAAGTACTGATAGAACTAATAAACAAGTTCAGCAACAAAGAAGAATATGAAGTTAATACACGAAAGTCAATAGTATTCTTGGGTGCCAATAATGAATTACCAAGAAAGAAATTATGGAAATAATATTATTCACAACAGCTTCAAGAAAACTTGGGAACTTACCTAACAAAGGAAGAGGAGGGCTGTATAATGAAAACTACAGTACTCTGAAAAAAATGATCAAAGAAGATATCAAAAATGGACAGATACCCCCTGTTCCTAGATAGGCAAAGTGTCCGTAGTATCAAAACTGGTATATAGACTTAATTCAATCCCAGTCAAAATTCCAACAGCATTCCTCAAAGAACTAAAATTCATATGGAACCAGAATAGCAAAAGCAATTCTGAGCAACAAGAGCAAAGCAGGAAGCATCATAACCCAAAATAACAAAGTTACAGTGTCATGGTAGTGCCACAAAAACAGACATGTGGGTCAGTGGAACAATGCAGAAAAATTCTGGACACATTCAGCTATGTGATCCCACCTTAGCTTCTGTGTCCTTTATTCACTCTGGGCAAATAAACAGATGCAAAGAGTATTTTGAGCTAAAGAACACAGTGCAGTTGGAAATATTCACCTCATGTAGTCACAGCTGAGATGTATATGGGAATATATATATATATATAAGGCATCATAATACAGCACAGATGAGTATCTAAAAGTGTACCTTGACCTATTATGATTGTCTTACATATGTTATATGTCCTTTGGCCCATCAGTCTGGTTTTTAACCTATGCATATGATAATTAACTTTATAAGGTCTTTGTCTTAGTTACTATTCTCTTGTTGCTGAGACAAAATACCTGACACCCAAAATTAAGGAAGGAAAGTTTTATTTAGTTCACTGTTTGTGGAGGTTTCAGTCCATACTCAGATGGCTCCAAGGCAGAGTGGCACATGGCAGAAGGCAACAGTTCATGGTGGCAGAAAACAGCAAAAGCAGCAAGAACAAAAGAGAGGAGCAGCCCAAGCAGCCTCTTTCCCTCCCTTACACTGTGTGCAAACTACCCACCCCAGGGCGGGCATAGCACTCACACCCATAATCCCAACATTGAATTACTCATAAACTCTAGAAGCCAGCCCATGACTGCCTGAGGCTGTGGGGGGACATCCAGACACAATCTGTAACAGTCTTATAAGATAAATAAATGAATGTGATGCTGGAAAAATAAAAGGACCCGGAAGAACAGAAAAAAAATTGAAATGTGTATGTGCAGGTACCAACTCCCTACAATGAATGTAATCACTGTGCATTGTACTAATAAAACATGTACTAATAAAAGTAAAAAAAAAAGTATAAAAACATATTTGTGAAGATCTGGAAGACAGGAGTTTGAAGACAGGAGATTCTAATTTGGTCATGACACATTGTACATGTGCATTGAATCATCACACTGTGCTCCATAAGTATGTGCAATTGTTAGGTATCAGTGAGAAAGAGGGAGTAAAACGAAGACACTGAGAATTAAAAACAGGAAATGGGGACATGGACCTGCTACAAATAGAAAGAGAACTAGGAGAAGGGGGAGGGGAAAGGGAAGGAGGGGAGGGGGAGGGGGAGCAAAAACACCGGCTGTGTCACGTACATGGACCAGTGCCTCACAATGAATGGAATTATTATGGGCTGCAAACATGCCCTAATAAAAATGATTAAAAAAAGAAACAGTTCAGACCAATTCTGGTCACTTACTCCATCAGGAGAATAGGCGTCTATTCCTGGAAAACAAGGGAGAAAGCAGGGACATCCTAGGGCATCATTCCTCTGGAATCCCACTTCTGCCATTCTTCCAACCCAGGTTAGAGCCAGAGATTGGATCAGAACCCGAGGTGAACAGCAGCCAGTCAGAACCAACCCTCCCTTCAGAGATCCATCCGCAACGAGCACACATTCTAAACTACCTGACATCCATTGCACTAGTCACCAGTAAGGTTTCATCTGATTTTCTGCTCCTTTTTCTTGTTTCAAATTTTTTTGTTTTTATCTGGTTATCTATTCTATCCCTTTAAACAAGTCTGGATAGAGAGAGAGAGATGACTGGAGACTGAAAGCAGAAGCACTGTTTTCGTACTATGCTATCTCTGCTGGATTTAGAGACTTGATAGTTCTTTCTTTCTCTCTCTCTCTCTCTCTCTCTCTCTCTCTCTCTCTCTCTCTCTCTTTCCTGGTACTGAGGATGGAACCCAGAGCCTTTGCACTGAACTATATCCACAACCCCAACTCTTTCTAAAATTTCATATTTTGAGACAAGGTCTCACTAAGTCACTAGATTGTCCTGGTTGGGCTTGAACTTGTTCCCTTCCTGTGATTTTGTTCCAGGGACTGGGGAGTTGTTCAGATACACTTCCAACCTTCTTTAACCTTACTTCTCAACTCTATTTCTCTCTAGTTCTCATCATATAACCACAGAGGAAAATTCTGCACTTAGGCCCAACGCCTTTGACTTGACATCCTGACTCAATTATTTGTCTAGATACTTGTATCAGCTTATCTACTAAGTCCTATACCTTAGATCCATCTAAGCTTCTGTCTTTGGTTCTATCCCTAGGACCCAAGACTAAAAGACTAACTCATCATCTGGGACAGAGTTTAGATATAAATACACAGTCTGCCTATTTACTCTCCCGAAATCAACTTCAAATATTATGACAAAAGCTTTGCAGTAGGAAGAAGACAGAGGAGAAATGGGTGAGAAGGCCTGGACTTGAACACACTCACAGCACTGTCACTTTAAACAGACCCTGTGATTCTCAGTGTCAACAAGGCTGAAGTCAGACCCTCACATCTGCCAACAAGATACGCACGAGGGGATAGTAGAGAACAGCAAACATGCAGAGCAGCATCACAGAGCAATGGTACAATCGAGCCTTAGAAACACATGCATACGCATACCTGAACCATTCATCTATTGCTTAACGTGTTCAGAGAGCTTCGCTGACATATTCTGATTTCTAAAAATGAATTGGGAGGCATGGTTTCACTCATTTTACAAACAATGGAATTGAAGCAAGGGAGATTCAGCGTTACAAGCCCTGCAAGCACCCAAATGAGGGTTTGTGCACAGGAGCACTGATTGCAAAGGTCAGGGTCCCAAGCACTGTGACACTCCATACCTCCACCCTGTTCTACGGAGCTAACATAGGGCAACCCAAATGCTTATCTGGCTCTTAAAACAATTGCGTTCAGTGTACTTTGTGCATACATAAAAAGTCTTAGTCATTTTTAATATCGCTTAATTTATCTACTTAGGATATTATTGTCTGAGGCAGTGATTACAAACATTACATAGACTCCGACTAAGGAGAGATCTTCACATTTACTCAATATTTGTTCAACAAACATTTGAGTAACCTCTGTGTGCCAAGCTTACCTTGAACTTGGCTCTGAGAATCTGGTTGTGAAATACTCAGTCTCTGTTCCCAGGATGTTCACAACCTCGTGGAGAAGATAGATGTGCAGAGAGAGGGCCACTCTTCGGGGTGGGCACCTCCGTGAGCTGTCCCCAAAGTGTGCAGTTGGAAAGAGGCCTCTTAGGGAGCTGAGGTTTTGAAGATAAAGAGGAGTCTGCAAAGCAGAGAAAGGGGAAGGGTGGTCCGTGCGGAGGCCTAAGCAGAGCTGAGGATGCGGTGCAAGGAACAGAGCAGGACGTTCAGGGACCCCTGTCTTCCACTCTGCAGAGTCCCAGCATCTGCCGTCTAGAACCACAGTAAACTCGGCTGCGGCACATGAGGCAAGTATTTCCAACCGCACTGTGTTCCTTGGCTCAGCACATTGCTCCCCATCTGCTGTGTTTGTCTAGAGTACACAGAGGACATGGAAGATAAGGTAGGAACTTGTTCGGGTGAGGCCGTTCGCTGCCCAAGATAAGGCCTTTGTCTAGAAGCCTCCTTTAAACATGGCACAAAGAGATTTGAAAGAAGGATTTCATGAAAGAAAAAAGGAAGAAAAAGAAGGAAAAGGTAATTTCTCAACTGAGACATAACATCAGCTTGGGTAAAACAATCACATTTATTTCCATTTATTTGGTTGTTTTGTCAATCACAGCTCTTGAAGGCAACTGTCTTAGGAATAATAATATTTCTTTTATTATTGTGGATAACAATACAAAAGTCTATAAGCCAACAGAATGAGTAAAACTTTGTAATTTATTTCTTTTCTTTCTCCACATTAACCACATATTAGAAGGAAAAGATTCATACTGGTTTGCCATTGTTGAAAGAAATAATAACAATAACCCAAATTGTATAATGGAAAGTGCATATAACAGTCAAAGATCAGAAAAATAGACTTCTATGAAGAGAACCAAATGTCTGTTTAGCTCATTCTCCAAATTTCAAGTCACGTGGGAAAAATTAATTAATTAATTCAGTGAGAAAAAATGTGTGCCATCTGCCTATGGCCACGATGTGCACAGGGTGACGAGAAGTAGAGTGAGAAAGGGAGGTTGCACCAGGCTAGCCCCTCAAGAGCCCTCTCTGGAGAAGGTACAGCCTGAGCCAACTTTGCGGAAAGTGTGGCGGCGCACGCTTGTAACCCCAGCGCTTGGAAGACTGCAGCAGGAGGATTGTTGAAAGTTCAAGGCCAGCCCAGGCTACACAGTGAGTTCAAGACCAGCTTGATCTACACAGTAAGAACCTTGTCTCAAAAATAAGATAAAATAATCAAATAAGTTGTAAGTTAACAGAATTTTAAGCTACAAGTGATTCAACTTCATTTCAAAGACATAAAGTAATGCCAACTAACTTGTGTTTCTTCACTTATTTTATGAGAAATAAATTATGTAGTAAAAGAAGTTACAAAGCTGGCAGTATTTGATATGGGAGGACAAAACCTGGTTACAGTGTGGGAAATCTGAGTCTTTTGTCACACTGTCTCAGTGTTCCTGTGATTATTTATGTCCCTCATTGACTTTAAAAAGACAGAAGTGCTAATCCCATGTAATGTTTCAGAGTGTAAATTTCTGGATCGATTTAGTAAGGGCAGTTTTAAATGACAAGCAGGATTTACACAAAATCAATGAGCAGATATTAAATCAGGATTTCCTTGGTTTTACTCTTATTTCAATTTTAATACTAAAACAAGCTCATTTTGACATCATTGAAATTAAGTTAGCTTCACACTCAAAAGTACACTTCCCTACAGATTCCTGAACACCTCCTGCGTTCTCTTGGCTGGGCTTTATTTTAGGCTACACTGGAAAGTGGCCCAAAGCCCCTAGCAGGCTGGCATCCTGCCTAGCAAACCTCACCCTAACTTGTCACCTCAGGAACTTGCTGAGGAAGCTGGCGAGGAGCAGCCTTCATTCCGCCCCCTTTACCTCTGTGTGCCAGTTTGCTCCTCTGGAGAGAGAGAGAGACTCCTCAGACTCACAGAGGCTGCAGACACACAAGCCGCTAACGAGTTCATGCTGTCCTGCAAGGAGGGGGTCACAGACAGTCCCCCAGGTAAACACCAGCCACCCCCTGTGCTGCCTCCCCACTAAAATCCCTGTGACCGCGAAGCCCCCAGGAGAGATGAGCTTCAGGAGCACTTTCAATGGCAAGTGATGCGGCACAGAGGTTTGCTTCAGCACCAAAGCTGTGTCTGCAGTGCTCATGCTCGGTCCCTCACAGTGATGGGTGTGATATAGAGCCCCCCTCCACACCACAGCATCCTTGTGGGTGTCTGCAGCCCCACTCAGAGGCAGTCATCAGAGAGGCTTCCCAGAATCCACAAGTCCTAGAGGAGGGCTTGATTCCTCTTATGAATATTATTATTTTTTAAATTTCTTAACCTTTATCTTCTATTCATTTATCTCATTTTCTTTGAAGGAAGGATGGTTATTTATAAATTTTGGATGCTAGCTAACTAATAAAGGTTTTTGTTATTGTACCAGTGGACACTGAACCCAGGGCCTTGTGCATGCTAGAAATATATCCCTAGCCCTTTTTGAGACAGGTACTGGCTAAATTGCCCTGACTGGCCTTAAACTTAGGGATCTTCCTGCCTCAGCTTCCCAAGTATTCAAGTTATATAAATGTATGTCACCACACCAACCCTAATCAGGGTTTTGAGGATAGTTCTCCAGTGGATTTAATAAAGCTCATAAAGAACTGACTAGAGGTGATCTGACACACCAGGAGGGTCTCTCAATCTTGTCCTAATTTGTCACTTGGCAAGCTCTCAGAAGACACGGCGATTGCAGCTCTGGCAAACTTGAGCCAGGGCAGAAGTTAATTTGGCTCACAGCTTAGAGCATTTTCCAAATGGGACAACGTATCACCACTACACTTTCCTTCCTTGACTTTCAGTTTTCCTTTTGCAGTTTCTAGCAAGCCCCAAGTGAGCAGAAGGGGGCTTTCTTACTTTCTTTTTTAGCCTGTTTGACATACCACCATCTTCTCCAGGCCTGCCAATGTCTTACAACTTCTTGCCACTAACTAGTAGCCACATTGCAACAGACAGGGCTTCTCTTGCGTTATTAACAATGCTCCACTGTTCCTTTTGCTTACTTTCCCTACCTTGGGTTGTCTGTGCTACATGAGCACACCTTCTCCTGGGTGTGGGCCAGTATCTTCAATGGATACTATGGTTCCCAGATTTATGTTCTCAACACACCAGTCTGCATATTCTAATAACTCAGAGTCTAGAACGCATTACAAAGGGACAAGTGATAAGATCCCTGCCCTGAGGTGCTTACAATGTAGGTTAAACAACCCCTTGAGTGGCTAACAGGCAAAGGAGAGCTGCAGAGATTCTTCAAGGTAATTAGCATTGCAAAGGTGTAAAACAGAGACTGTAAGGTGTGTAAATTGCAGCTACCTTTTCTGAGTTATATAAAAATAAAGCAGGAAGAAAAATATATGTACATAAATGAAAAATATTCTGAAATGCTGACAAGATTAAAAACTAAGAAAATAGATCAGGTTAGATTCCTGATTGTGTAAAGCCTAATTAACAAAATCACTGAACCCCACAAAAAATGAAGGAAGTTAAAAGAAGCATGTCATGACCAAGAATAACATGATTTTCTTTGTGACCCCCAAAACAGCAGGATCTGGATACAGACTTTTAGTTTTAGTTTGATTTTCAAGGTACAAGTTGAAACTTTACAGGTCAAATAGATTTAAAGCTTTTTAAAACCTTACCATGGTGCAATTATAGACAAACTTAATTGTTCCCATACATAGGTGATAGAGTATATATAAGGTAACATGATAAACAAGAAAACACTACTGAATTTATACAGTCACATTCTGTCAATTGTACAAAACTCCTCTGTAATTAGAAGATCTTCCTCGTTTTGATTTTGTTTTTAAAACTACAGATCCAGATGGAACAGGTTTCAGCTTAGAAATTCAGCTAGTTTTCCTTTTTGTTTTATAGATGGGAACTTCAGACTTGGCAGTTGCTTCTTTTTTCTTTTTCTTTTTTTTTGTTTCAATTATCCCACAGTGAAGTTGGCAGGAACACTAAGTAGATGGTTTATAAACACAGATAAAGTGCTGTAGAGTAAATAACACACTGTGTGAACACCCAGCAATTTAACTGCTGAAAACCCAGGGTACGTGTTCACAGGCTCTGTCTGCTGGGTAGCTAAGCACTGCGCTGTGCTGCTCTGTGCGCATGTGTGTGTGCAGGGGGTTGCAAGGGTGTGGCCGCTGGCTGCCCGCTGGGTGGGATGTTGCTTGCCCAGCAGATGAGAAAACTGGTCTGCTCCTTAGCCTGGACCTCTCCCTTGAAGAGGCTGAACCAACCTGAAATCAGACTTGTCACTGGGAGGTTTTCTTTGCTTTCGGCAGTGATAACTGCAGCATTCCTGGTTCTCTGTGATTTCCTCAGAGAGAAAGTTACATTTTTCCATCTATTCCTCCTAGGGTGAGGAACAGGTGTTTCAGACAAGTCTTCTCTGGTCCACAAACAGACCTGCCAAGGAAGGACCTCTCAGTGCCTCAGAAGCCAGCCCTTGGCTGCTTCGTTTAGGCAAAGCTTCAGACTGGACTACTATAGAAGATAGAACGATTGCCTGAAAGAGCACTACCATCCTCGAACGTACATTTTCCTCCCAAAATTCCTGTTGAAGTTCTCAGCACAGTGCTTTGGGACATGTGAAGACGGTATCTTTACAGAGGACAACAAGGCAAAGTGCCACCCTCAGTGCAAGCATAAACCTACTATGGCCAGTACCCCAAAAGGCAAAATTCTTTTTTTGATGTTTTTGGTTTTTTGGAGACAGCATCTCACTCTGTAATTTAGGCTGGTCTTGAAATCACTGTTTAACCCAGTCTGGCCTTGAGCTCATGGCAGAGCACCTGCCTCAGTATCTAAAATGCTGAGATTATAGGCATGGGCCACCACACCCAGCACAAGCCAAGAAAAGTGGCCTGGTGAGATTCTTCACACACAGTTCTCAGATGGGATCGACACTGTTAACAGACTGGATCTCAGACTCCTACCACCCAGATTGTAAACGTCTGTTGAGCTGGCCAATCTGTGGTGCACTGTTAGGGCAGTGCTGCTGTGACTGGGTTCTGGGGTTCCTTCTAGACATTCTGAAAGACTCTGACCACCGGCACCCTGACAGA